AATTAGCACTTTCCTTACATTTCTCAATATATGTATTTCTCATCATTGGTAAGTCCATCTGCCAGCATTACTTCAGATCTTTTTTTTAATTCAGTTTTTGGATAGTGGGATAATTTTTCAATTTTCTATGACAAAAAATTATTTCTTTTTAGTTTTGAATACAGTCAGGAATGGTGGAAACTGCTGCAATGTTTTATTGTCGTATCCCTGCTGGGGAGATTGCCATAGTGGCCATCGTCACTAGAACATAAAGTGATATGAGATCCAAAACAGAAATGATCATCCAGTGGAGACACCTGCTTCCCCCACAGCTAAGAGGGGATTTCTCATCACATTGGGGGGATTTCCTGGTGTGTCTCCAGGACAGGAAGCAAAAAACTCCCCAGCTGGTCAATGATTTAGAACACATCCTTGCTATTAAATTGTCATGACAGCAAGTCAAGTAATATTTTTTTAGATCAGCAAGGGTAGGTTCATTTTATAATGAGGTGGAGGCATCAGCATAACATTAATAAAATAGTCATTTTCTTCTTCCTTAGTAGATCAGCTGCATTTGAATATGAAAGTTCTGCAGGTTTTCGGTCTACTTTTTCTCCACGTGGCTTTTGTGACACCGAGCACACCAATATGCAATGACCCAGAAAAAGGTGGCTGTTCCATCTTTACATGTGGAGCTCCTGGAAAGGATGGAGAGAAGGGGGAACAAGGTATAAATTAATATATCTTAAAAGGACTCTGGTATAGTTTGGGGTCATTTTGTTTTACATCAGTAAGGTTTTTTTTTTTTTGTTTTTTTTTTAAATCATTCTTAAAAATAATAAGTATGTTTATGTGTTTATGTATGTGATGTGATTGAGCCTGGACAGATTTTTTTAAATCAATGGGGAGATTCAAAGGGGGGGTTGGGGATAATGAGGGGATAGTGAGTTCGAAGTTGGGCTTTAAAAAAGGATTCCCCTTACATTCACTATGTTATACTATATACTTTAATTAAACAGGACAAATGGGAACTCCTGGATATATGGGAATACCAGGACCACAAGGACCCCCGGGGCTACCAGGAGACTGCAAGGATTCAGGTACAACAGAGCATTGTGTTCAAATGTTTTTGCTTTAAATCAGGTGTCTCCAAACTTTTCAACCAAAGAGCCACATTACTGTCTTTCAGTGGGGATAGAAAATGTCCCAGGTCCAGCATCAATGACAATAAACATGACCTCAGAGTTGGTGGTCAGTATGAGGAGTAGTGATCCATCATTGGTATCAGTGGGATGAATAGTGCCTCATCATTGGCATCAGTGTAAGAAATAGTGCCAGAGAAGGGCAATCAAACTGATAATAGGCATGGGTAGCTCAGCTATGAGGAAAGATTAGAGAAGCTGAAGTTATTCTCTCTTGAGAAGAGGAGATTATGAGGGGATATGATCTCCATGTATAATACATAAGGGGGGATATGATCTCCATGTATAATACATAAGGGGGATATGATCTCCATGTATAATACATTAGGGGGGATATGATCTCTATGTATAATACATAGGGGGGGATATGATCTCCATGTATAATACATAAGGGGGGATATGATCTCCATGTATAATACATAGGGGGGGGGTATGATCTCCATGTATAATACATAAGGGGGGATATGATCACCATGTATAATACATAAGGGGGGGATATGATATCCATGTATAATACATAAGGGGGGATATGATCTCCATGTATAACATATAGGGGGGGATATGGTCTCCATGTATAATACATAAGGGGGGATATGATCTCCATTTATAATACATAAGGGAGATATGATCTCCATGTATAATATATAGGGGGGGATATGGTCTCCATGTATAATACATAAGGGGGGATATGATCTCCATGTATAATACATAAGGGGGGATATGATCACCATGTATAATACATAAGGGGGGATATGATATCCATGTACAATACATAAGGGGGGATATGATCTCCATGTATAATACAGAAGGGGGGATATGATTTCCATGTATAATACATAAGGGGGATATGACTTCATGTATAATACATAAGAGGGATATGATCTCCATGTATAATACATAAGGGGGGATATGATCTCCATGTATAATACATAAGGGGGATATGATCTCCATGTATAATACATAAGGGAGGATATGATCTCCATGTATAATACATAAGGGGGGATATGATCACCATGTATAATACATAAGGGGGATATGATCTCCATGTATAATACATAAGGGGGGATATGATCTCCATGTATAATACATAAGGGGGGATATGATCTCCATGTATAAAACATAAGGGGGGATATGATCTCCGTGTATAATACATAAGGGGGGACATGATCACCATGTATAATACATAAGGGGGGATATGATCTGCATGTATAATACATAAGGGGGATATGATATCCATGTATAATACATAAGGGGGGATATGATCTCCATGTATAATACATAAGGGGGGATATGATTCCCATGTATAATACATAAGGGGGATATGATTTCATGTATAATACATAAGGAGGGGATATGATCTCCATGTATAATACATAAGAGGGATATGATCTCCATGTATAATACATAAGGGGGAATATGATCTCCATGTATAATACATAAGGGGGGATATGATCTCCATGTATAATACATAAGGAGGGGATATGATCTCCATGTATAATACATAAGATGGATATGATCTCCATGTATAATACATAAGGAGGGGATATGATCTCCATGTATAATACATAAGATGGATATGATCTCCATGTATAATACATAAGGGGGGGGGTATGATCTCCATGTATAATACATAAGGGGGGGGGGGGGCATGATCACCATGTATAATACATAAGGGGGGATATGATCTCCATGTATAATACATAAGGGGGGACATGATCTCCATGTATAATACATAAGGGGGATATGATCTCCATGTATAATACATAAGGGGGGGATATGATCTCCATGAATAATACATAAGGGGGATATGATCTCCATTTATAATACATAAGGGAGATATGATCTCCATGTATAATATATAGGGGGGGATATGGTCTCCATGTATAATACATGAGGGGGGATATGATCACCATCTATAATACATAAGGGGGGATATGATCTCCATGTATAATACATAAGGGGGGATATGATCACCATGTATAATACATAAGGGGGGATATGATATCCATGTACAATACATAAGGGGGGATATGATCTCCATGTATAATACAGAAGGGGGGATATGATTTCCATGTATAATACATAAGGGGGATATGACTTCATGTATAATACATAAGGAGGGATATGGTCTCCATGTATAATACATAAGGGGGGATATGATCTCCATGTATAATACATAAGGGGGAATATGATCTCCATGTATAATACATAAGGGGGGATATGATTTCCATGTATAATACATAAGGGGGGGTGAGATATGATCTCCATGTATAATGCATAAGGGGGGATATGATCTCCATGATTAAATAAATCAGTGGTTCATATAGTGAACTCTGTGTAGAGATATTCACCCTGAGGTCATCACAGAGGACAAGGGGGCGCTCTTTACGTCTGAAGGAAAATAAATGTAATCTCCAAATACGGAAAGGTTTTCTGCACAGTGAGAGCTGTGAAAATGTGAAATAGACTCCCTCATGAGTTGGTTCTGGCCAGTTCAGTGGATTGCTGTAGGAAAGACGTGGATTTTTTCCTAGATACACAGAATATAACTGGATACTGACATTTATAGATAAAGTTGATCCAGGGAATATCCGATTGCCTCTCGGGGGATCAGGAAGAAATTTTTTCCCTTAGAGAAGTAAATTGTATCATGTTTTGCTGGGTTTTTTTGCCTTCCTCTGGATCAACAGTGGGTATAGGATAACTTTTTTTAATTTATTATTGAACTGGATAGACTTTTGTCTTTTTTCAGCCAGACTAACTATGTAACTAAGAAACTATATTGTTGATATCAGTGAGAGGAATAGTGCCCCATCATTGGTATCAGTTTACGAAATAGTGCCTCGTTGTTGGTATCAGTGCGAATAAATAGTACCCCATCATTGATACTAGTGGGAGAAATAGTGCCCCGCCATCGGTTTTCAGAAGAAGTAGCGCCCCATCATTGGTATCAGTGGGAGGAATATTGCCCTATGATTGGTGCCGGTGTAGGAAATAATGCCTCGTTGTTGGTATCAATAGGAGGAATAGTGCCCCATCATTGGCATCAGTAGAAGAAATAGTGCCTCCTTGTTGGTATCAGTGTGAGGAATAGTGCCCTGTCATTGATACTAGTGGAAGGAATAGTGCCCCATCATTGGTATCAATGGAAGAAAGAGGGCCCCATCATTGGGGTATCAGTGTGATAAATAGTACCCCATCATTGATACTAATGGGAGAAATAAGTGCCCTATCATTGATACTAGTGGAGAAAATCGTGCCCCACCATTGGTGTCAGAAGAAGGAGTAGTGTCCCATCATTGGTGTGTCAGTGGGAGGAATAGTGCTCCATCATTGCTATTAGAGATGAGCGAAGTATTCAAAAATTCGATTCGACTGATTCGGCGAATTCGTGGACAATATTTGATAGTGCCCCATTATTGGTATCAGTGGGAGGAATAGTGCCCCATCATTGGCATCAGTAGAAGAAATAGTGTGCCTCGTTGTTGGTGTCAGTGGGAGGAATAGTGCCCCATCATTGGCATCAGTAGAAGAAATAGTGCCTCGTTGTTGGTGTCAGTGGGAGGAATAGTGCCCCATCATTGGTATCAGTGGGAGGAATAGTGCCCCATCATTGGTATCAGTGGGAGGAATAGTGCCCCATCATTGGTATCAGTGGGAGGAATAGTGCTCCATCATTGCTATTAGAGATGAGCGAAGTATTCAAAAATTCGATTCGACTGATTCGGCGGCGAATTCGTGGACAATATTTGATTCGAGTTGAATATATTCGCTGTGAATTTAACTTAAAAAAGGGTGTTTCTAGGCTTCAGAGAGACTTAATATTAGTGCAGAACACTGTACCTTTTAATTTAAATGCCCTTGGAGTCTGCTGGGGAAGAGAAATAATACTGTCAGTCAGTATGACATGCAGATGAGTGCCGTCGATCTTAGAATCACCGCACACTTCACTCATTTGGCCAGTCACGGGGGCCAAAACCAGTGTTTGGAGCCACAGTGTGGCGGTGGAGGCAGCAGCAATGGGAGGCCATACAGCAACCTATGACAAAATGGAAACCAGCAGGAGTGTGTATGGAGACCTCAAAGTGGCACATGGCAGAGTAGGGAGCAATGGGAGGCGGTACAGGGACCCATGTCACCACTGTGGACCCAGCAGCAGCGTGACGAGGCGGTACGGGGGCCCATGGCAGATTTGGGGCCTGGCAGCACCTATGGGAGGCCTGTAATCTGCCAGCAACCTATGACAAAATGGAAAACAGCAGGAGTGTGAGGAGACCTCAAAGTGGCACATGGCAGAGTGGGAGCAATGGGAGGCGGTACAACAGGGACCCATGTCACACTGGTGGACCCAGCAGCAGCGTGACCAGGCGGTACGGGGGCCGCTATGGCAGATTACAGGCCTTGGCAGCAGCAAAGGGAGAGCCCGTAATCTGTCAGCACCCTAAGTGACAAAAAAATGGAAACAGCACGCAGCAGTGTGTTGAGGGAGACCTGAACGTGGCAACATGGCAGAGATGCGGCCATGGAATAACAGTAAGCAAAGGGAGGCCGTAACAGGTACCCATGAGAGAACACGTTGACCAGGCAAGCAGCAATGAAGGGAGTGCTGTATAGAGGGGCCCATGGCAGATTAGATGGCCTTGGCATGCCGCTATAGGAGAGCCCGTTAAATCTGCCCCGCACCCTATGTTAAAAAAAATTTATTCAACAACAACCAGCAGTGTGTGAGGAGAACCTGAAAGTGGACACATGGCATGAGTGTGGCGGCGATGGAGACAGAGCAGATGGAGGCCGTAACAGGGACCCATGAGAGACTCTGGACCAGGCAGCAGCATGACAGGAGGGCGGTATAATAGGGGCCCATGGCATATTGATAGGGTCCTGGCAGGCAGCTATGGGAGGCCCGTAACTCTGCCAGCTACCCCTAACTGTCAAAAAATTCAAACACGACTCAGGCAGTGTTGAGTAGATAGACCTGAAAGTGGCACATGGCAAGAGTGGTGGCGATGGAGACAGCGAGCAATGGGAGGCCGATACAGTGGACCCATGAGAGAATCTGGAACTTGGCAGCAGCATGAGGAGGCGGTATAGGTGGCTCTACCATGGGCAGAATTTAGGGGGGCCCTGGCAGCAGCTAAGGGAGGCCCGTAAATCTGCCAGCACCCTATGTCAAAAAATGGAAACACACCAGCCAGGTGTGAGGAGAACCTGAAATTGGCACATGTTTGGGGCATGATTCATGGCGGATTTAGTCAGTTGGAAATCTGTCAGGATACTGGTGGTTTGAAAATCCAACTAAATCCACGGCCTGATTCAATATTTCACAAACGTGAGTCTCTATCGTCCACACATTGGGTGGACAGTTTGTGTCCTCCCGCGGAAGTTTGCAATAACCTCCTGCCGCACGATGCAATAACACGTGCTCCGATGCCACCTACTCAACTGCCGGTGCAAGGACCAAGCCTTTTCACAAGGGCAAATTCAGCTAGATTGGGGCCAAAGGTCGAAGTTTCGTTGCCCAGTAGTCAAGGGGAATGTCTACCTCGGATTGGCAGGGTGCTGTCCAAGTAGGCCCTCAAGCCTGTTGTTTGCGGTCCCTGCTCCAGGTCCACCTGATGCAGCTTGCTAGCTTGCAGCTCTGCAGCGGCTGGTTTATTAGTTTCCCATCACTGTGCGCTGGTGAACGAAAGGCTAGCTCATCATCGACTAGCATGCCTGAAGGCAAGCGCGCTGCTGTTGGAAGCTGCACACTGCTCCTACCACCCCACCCTTCCCCCTCCCCTGCTGCCAATGGCATCGGAAAACGCCGAGCCGCACAAGGGCCCCACAGTGTCTGAGGATGGACGTTGGCGCAGACAAGGCCAAGACCCTGACTACATAGGTGGTTTTTATATGTTTTTTTC